AGTTCCCAATGTTGGCCCTAGTTATTGGTTGCGATTAGGAAGTGTTGTTTTCTGGACCATAGGCATTGCGTCGCTTCGTATGGCGGTGGAGGATCTTCTACACGCATTATGGGGAGAGGAAACGTAACCCATTCTTCGTTGATGACGCTACCGAGTTAAATTTCGACAGATTAGCATTTACACGAGATACTCTGCACAATTGAAGGATGTATTTCTCTTACTCTCAATTACCCCGTGTAAGTAAAACAGGAGAGTCTAAACCACTCTGACACCCCTCTTTTTTCCAATCCAATTTGAGGCACTATAACCTAACATTAGTGCTTCAAATCGGACTAAGGATAAAGAGAAGGACACATTCTCTGCCTTTTCCTAAAACAGTTAAAGGATTGACTATATTTGCATAGAAAATGGCTTACAGTGGTTAATCTCACTGGTGTTAGCTTGTGTGGTCTTATTTTTCTGAGATATTTGAGTTTGTAGTAAGGCTATTCAATTAGAACGAGCCGTACATCCCTACGACCTTTGTTGTACAATTGAAGAATGGTATAGAGCATTTTATTTCTCAGGTCTAACCTTGGACCCTTTTACTTCATCTCCAAGACATTTGTGACTTTGGTACATCATAGAGTTGAATCCTTACCATTGAGTTTGACGATAAAATGTGCCAAATCTATAAACTTCATGTAAAGTTAGCAATTCATTAAACAAGATCCAGAGAGGAACATGGCAACATTTCCTATGTAATACAGCTATACCTCATCATCTCTAAGGCTTGATTTTCACAGTTCAAACCTTCTCAACTGAGTGTGCTTGGTTTGAGTGTTCCAAATTTGAGACTGTATTATTTATCAATTAAATGAGTTAGGGCTATAGCCATATGAGAAAAAAATTTGATTACACACACACACTCTCAACTAAAAGTATTATTGTGTCTGTCACATACAGTACGAGAGTAATGCAGAGAGAGAGAAAAAAAAAATTCCTGAGCTTTGAAAAGTGAAAAAAAAAATTGACAGTCTAGTTTAGTTAGGAATATACTACAACCACACGTACTTTAACAGCAGGACATCATGAAGGTATGCAGTGAACCTTTTTAGTCAGATTATGATGTTGGGATACATATGGAGGGAGATAGCATCGAAAAAATGGATAATTGTGAAGAAGGAGGCATGTGAAAACGGACATGAGGAAAAGAGAAGCATTTTATTTAGTCAAGCAGGAAATTAAATTACATTAATGAACAGTCACTATCATAAACAACCCAGGAGACTCTTGAATCAAGAGTAATGAACCACTTCAAGTTTCAATCCAGATAAAGAATGCAAAGCTGAATAATGAAATTCAAAAGGTTGTCTAAAAGGGAAGACTCAACCAGACATAGATCCTTTTGTCAAATAGCCATTCAAGCGTCTTTTTAACCATATCTATCCCATCAAAGTCTATAATCTTTTTCTTTTCTAGAAATTATAATACTAACTATTTCTTTTTTTAGTTGAACATTTCCTACCCAGCCAACGGTACTCAAAAGAGTATTGACATTGATGATGAACACAAATTGCGTGTTTTCTACGAAAAGAGAATGGGCCAAGAAGTCGAAGGTGACTCAGTTGGTGATGAATTCAAAGGTTACATTTTCAAAATCACTGGTGGTAACGATAAGCAAGGTTTCCCAATGAAGCAAGGTGTCATGCACCCAACCAGAGTTAGATTGTTGTTAGCTGACGGTCACTCATGTTACAGACCAAGAAGAACTGGTGAACGTAAAAGAAAATCAGTCAGAGGATGTATTGTTGCTCAAGATTTGTCAGTCTTGTCTTTGGCTATTGTCAAACAAGGTGACAATGACATTGAAGGTTTGACTGACGCCACCGTTCCAAAGAGATTGGGACCAAAGAGAGCTAACCACATTAGAAAATTCTTTGGTTTGACTAAAGAAGATGACGTTAGAGACTATGTCGTTAGAAGAGAAATTGTTAAAGGTGACAAGACTTATACTAAAGCTCCAAAGATTCAAAGATTAGTCACCCCACAAACTTTGCAAAGAAAGAGAGCTTTGAAGGCCAAGAAGGTTAAGAATGCTCAACATCAAAGAGATGCTGCTGCTGAATACGCCCAATTGTTGGCCAAGAGATTGCATGAAAGAAAGGAAGAAAAGGTTCAAATTAGAAAGAAGAGAGCTGAATCTTTGAAAAACTAGAGTCTCTTTATCTTTGGCATGATTGATGCCATTGTATAAGTAAAGTCTATAAAGTCATTCTAGTTTTTCTTGTTTTACCTAATTTGTCAGGTGGTTTAAGTGTGTATAATATAAATTTCAAAATAGGGAGATTTACGTTACAAGCTGAAGTTGTAGATTATGTCACCTCTGGCAGAGCGGTAAGGTATAGTTTGGACGTTAAATCGTTCTTTGAATAAGAGGTGGGTGGAGCATATATGATATCTTGTTTTACAACATGGATCAAAATTGGATCTGTTTTTCCAGTCAGCCAATCTGCTGCTCAACACACAAAGTTTCTACAAATACGATTAAGAGTCCTACTCAAATAAAACCCAAGAACATTCTATTAATAAGTAAAAGATTATAAAACTCAAAAAAAAAAGGCAAACAAGAAAAAGATGAATGTAAATAAAATGAACAAAAACAAAAAGGAAAGTGAAAACATGTAAAGCAAATAATATAAACTAAATCCTTTATAGCGGACTCATTGGTTTCCTCATCTCTAATACGACTTGTCAATCATTCTCCGTTTTCTTCCTTATCTAGTAAGTTACTCCATATCTTCGTGAAGGGAGATTTATTGGAATACAACTGGTGGCATAACATCTTCATCCTTATTGGTTGTTGTATTCTTTTTATTCATTGCCAATGGTTCCATAGATATATTAGCATCAAATGCATTACCAATTTGGCCATTGAGGGGGTTGGCTTCTTGTTGCTTTTGTAACTCTTCAGTTCTATCTTGGCTTGGTCTTAAAGCACCAGAATTAGCAGCTGCTGTGGCAAGGTGTTGATTATATGTCATTACTTGGCTCAGTTTACCAGCACCAGAACCACCCACTTGAGCTAAATTATCAGTACTATTAGCCGTTTCAACCATTGGTGCTTCGTATGTGAAATGATCATTGATGGCAGTGTTTTCACCAACAAGATAGTTGTTGATCAATTCTGAACTCGAATTGTTGTGTGCGTTATTTGATGGTACACGTGGCTTGATAAACACTTTTCCTTGAGCTGCAGCTGCTTTACTTGGAAGTTTTTCGAAAAACACCGGGTTATTCAATTGTTTTGCCAATGTATCTAAATCAGTAGATGGCGCACGTGAATGTGGTGTACTATGGTTGTGAAGAAGTGATGTGTTTGAATCAGAAGAGCTATTCGTGTGTTTATGTTGGTTGCTATTATTATTATTTGTATTTTGATTATGGTTGTTGCTCTTTAGTATATTCAATGAACTATGAGCTGTTTGGTTGAGTAAGTCACTAAACGAATTGTGGGTGGAGTTTGGATGTGATGACAGTAAGTTTTGCTGTTGTTGTTGTGAGGACGATGGCTCCTGTGTGTTGAATGTAGGGATAAATGTGTCATAAAACGCGTAAACTGATGTCTTATTTGATGCTTGTCGTTGCGGTGGCGGAGGTGGTGGAACAGCACGTGTGTTAGTTTTCCGAGGCACACTTTGAAATTCATCAGGACTTCTATCATAAGCATTAGAAAATTCATCCAGTGTTTGGCTTAAAGAAAGAGATGACTGCGATCCTTGTTGATGATGGTTTTGTTGGTGTTGTTGCTGTGGTGGTGGTGCTGCTGCTGTTGAAGATGATGGCATATACTTCAAGTGTTGTCCATAAGGATGTTTCAGCAGTGGTCTAGTTAAAACCGGTTGTGGATGTTCTGGTTCTTGAGGTTGATTTAAATCAGATTCTAAACTACCATTTGATGAATCACTAGGTCCATTTAAAGCGACAACATGTTCCTTCAATTGTATTCCATCATCTACTTTTTCTCCCTTTTCGTATTGTTTATGTAGTTGTTCGTGAAACTGTTGGAAACTGCTATCATCATTTTGAATCTCTTGGTCTATATAGTCGTCATCAAGATCCTCCTTGCGTAACTGACGTTGATTCTTGTACCAAAAAATGAAAACAATCATGAGGATTATGAATGAAGGTACACCAACTGCTAGACCCACGGCCAAGCTTTGTCTATTAACCATGATTTAGAGAAATGTAGTTGTGAAAACAGTGTGGGGGTGATGAGAGCGTTGGAATGAAGATATATCTGCGCGTATAAAGTGTAACGTGTATGCCCTTTGCTGGTGTTGTGGGTGTTCGTGAGGCGTAGTCAGATTTGACAGCAATATAATATAATATTTCTCTAAGAAAAATCAAAAAAAAAATAATCAAAAAAATAGAATAAAAAAAAAGCGAGCGAATAAACAAGAAACAAGTGGTTGTTGTTAAGTTAAGTTGAGCTGTAGGTGTTAGGACCTATGTGGATGTTATTGAGGCGTGTGGTGTATGGTGTATGATGGTATATGTAGAAATATCTGGTGATTGCTCTAGAGAAGTAATTTTTTTATTGGCAGATTTTCTTTTCTTTTCTTTTCTGTCTCTTCTTCTTCTGTCTATGTGTCTGTCTGCCTCTTCTGTTCAGTTTGATTTTATTTTTTGATTTTCTTTGTCTATTGTTGTTTGTTGTGTGTCTCTCTATTGTTACAGTTCAAAAGTGTTTCTATAAAAAGACAAAAAGTAAAGGTCGTGTAAGAATGAGAAAATGATTTTCTATTATTAAATCTCCAATCCAAAAATAAAGTATGTACACGATACACGACTAAAATGCGAATAATGATGAAATCCAAAGTTGATTTTATTGACAGTAATGTAAAGCCTTGTTAAGCAACCTATGAGTAAAGGCTTAAAGAATATCGGTAATATATATCTCCTATTGGGGTACTAACAAAACTTAACTACAAAAATTATAGGGGCGAGAGATTCACTTCGGATCGTACCGGAAAAATACTCCCCCATTAATTTACCCGACATGGTTAAATTATACACACACATACACGTTACAAGAAAAAATACAAAACAATAGGGGTTTCATATACTATTCTTATACGAGAGACTGTCTTCCTTCTTGGCTTTTTCTTTCATCTATCTGACATAAGGTAAGAAATAAGGTGGGAGTAATGTTAAACCAACTACCACTAACCCTCAATATAACAGCTGCAATATTTGAGCAAATGTGCAGAGTAGAGTGTTAAACAAGGCTTTTTGTTTTTATCTTTATACTCATTGGTAGATTGGGTATGTAGTACTGTATATTGCTGCAACTGAAATTATCATACTGGGATACACTACTGCTCTCTTTGTATTCTTTGTTTTGTGTTTTGCGTAACCAATTACATATTGTGTATTGATATTATTATTGTTGTTAAATCTATATCCGATTGTACCTTAATAGAGTAGTGTATTAACCAATATTCCATTAGACAAAGAGAAAAATAAGCTACAATCAGTTGTCACTGAAGGAGTGTAGTAGTAAATGGGTTACAAGCTTTGCATCAATGTCTCAGTTGTAGTAATCATAAGATTTCAATATAAGGAAACTGGAAATAAGCGACATAATCTTTAACTGGTAGTCCTGGCGAAGGCTCTAATCTCAATATTGCAATCTCTTGCTTGCATCAAGACGGTCGAAGTCCACACGTTGGTAGCAATTAACCGAGCAATGGAACGCCAGTTGAAAACATCCTTAGTTGAGGTGTAAAGATAGGGTGTGCGAGCTTCAAGATCACCCTTGAAATACTGTCTAGCCATCATCTTTGAATTGTGTTTGAATGTTGAAAACCTTCCTGACGATATGTGGATCTTCTGAACCATTGGTGACCTGATCTACATCAATGTTGTTGTGTCGAATATCCTTCATGGGCCCAATACCATCATTATCTAACCTCATATCTTTTAAGAAGACATTAATATCCTTCCGGATAGAGGCATCCAAAAGGAGACTATCTGATCCAAAGTTAATAGAATCATAATAGGCTGATAGTTGGTTCCATTTTCCTTTCAAGTTTCTCAGCTGCAGCGTCTGTTTCATCGTCAGATTGAGATTACACTGTTTGCGTTTTGCTTTGTCTCAATTCATTGCTAGCCGATTCTAAATGCTTAATTTCTGATTTAAGACGTGCTTCAATACTGGCTTCATTATTTCCAATTTCAGCGCAATCTTCATCATTAACATTCTGATTAAGTTTTGAAACATTGGCAAATCCTTTAGTTTCGTGTTGATCAGTTTGTTGGATCTCAACTTTTTCTTTTACTTGAGTGGATCCAACATCACCAGCTTGCTTGCTATATTCAGCACACTTGGATTGCAAAACTGAAGCAACATCTTGCATTGCTTCTAAAACTACCTGTTTGATATCTTGTTGGTTAAATGCGTCAAACTTTTCATCAATTTGTTTCAAAAGTTGGCTTCTCATTTGGTTCATTGTCAGCATTAACAATTGGTTGAATTCTCGTTTCCAATTATCTAAAGGGTTGGAAGTTTCAGTGTCGTTGGTAGACATATTGGAGGAACAGATTTAGATTTTGGTGATTATTTAAGGGCTTGATTTACAAATTATTTGATAGCTTGTGGTGATAACTGTGTTAGTTCTTATCTTGTTTCGACTGATAAAGAAATCTCAGTAGCTGGTAGTTATGGGTTGAACACTTATAATCTCGAAATTATATAACAGATAGTAGAGATGACTTTATTGGTCGAAAATAAAATGAAATGTAAATTTAAAGAAACATATTCGAAAGGTATTTTAAAAAGTTCATGACGATATGAAAGTAATTTGTAAAAGTCTAATACTTCCTTTCAATCAAGGGGGTGGTAAAGCTAAAATCAACAAAAGACACATGCACACAAAATGTAAGACCATCGTATTGGAGTGTGGAGAGAAAGAAAGTGTGTTGGACCACCTTCCTTGTAGTTTTATCATATCTCACTTTACCCTGTCTTGATCCTCACGAGACGAAGCAAAAGATTGACTTTTACTTAATCACTTTTTTGCCTACTTTGTCCTCGCAGGGCACCCGTCTACACTTTACTATCACACGCATTTATACTATTCAGCTATATCTATTTACAAGTCAAACGGTAGTCCTCTTTTACAAATCAAATTCAAATTCCGGATCATCCATCAAATTATACTCAACTTTAGCATCCTTAGTATCCACTTCTAAAGCAAATTTGTGTACTTGAAATGGATGTAATTTCGATTCTCTTGATGCATTCAAAAGTACCCATGCCTTTTGTTCATTTCCCTTGACTTTAAATTTAACGTCAATCACACCTTGCACTGTATTCAATTTACCCCAGATCCATGGCCAACTACTTGCAAACTCAATATCCTTACCCAAAGCATCTTGTGCAATAGTCGACCGACGTAAGAAGTATAATGAAGAATTGATGATTGGTGAAGACGATTTTTCATAATTGAAAATGACGGCACATGTGACTACCAACGCAATCGAGTAAAAGACAAAATACCGTCTGTTTTCATCACGTTTGACAAACGGGTCAGGAAGCTCGCGGTCTATGGTAACTGGTGGTTTGTATATAGGTTTGATTTTGCTAGATTGTGTAGCCTGTTGTGGCGATTTCCGTATCTCTTGCAAAAGAAGACTTGGCCGATTGAGCGACCTGACAAACGAAGTGCTTTTAAATACAGACCCAAGTCTGTTGATGCCGACTGTCCTAGATATCATTACCTGTTTCAAACTCTTCTCCGTTGCAAACTCTGCTGACTTTTCCTGAAAAAAAAAATAATCAAAACCTCTCGCAGGAGATTAAAACTTGTACACGTCTTTGCCAGATGATCTCTACGGCCTTGACCACACTTAACTTTAAACTCTTATACAATGGACATTATACGAGGTGCTTGCTCAAAAGATAAAGTAGGTGGGATGGTCTACATACGGGAAGATATCGTCCCATCGATGCTAGAATGGAAAGCCATCGAAGATGAGAAGAATACGGTAGCAATACCATTGAATAAACTTGTGGCTCTACGAGCTTCAAAGGAATCTTCGCCCAAAATGACATTGCAGATTAGCTACAAGCTGGACGACCAAGAAGAATCCACAAAGATGAGTCTTCATTTTAATAACCGCCCCACCATGAATAATATCAAGGATGCATTACAGACAATTGTGGCTCGATCAAGGACCAGAGTTGAAGGTTCATCAACACCTACTCCCCAGGCTGATGCATCGAGTCGACAAGGATCCTCCACCGGTACTCCAGGCGCAACTGAATCAGGTACGCCTACTCCTGGAGCCTCATCTATTTCGGGCGCATTCAATTTATCGCAGAATCAATTAACCGATGCCAGCTTATTAAAAAATTTTGACCTACAACAAAAGCTTTTGCTAGAGGATAAGAACTTGAGAAACACCTTCACTAAATCAGTTATGCAGTTTAAATTATCACCATCAATGTTTTGGTCAAGTCGAATAAACCAATTACGTACATTTGCATTGACCATATCCCAGCATCGCGGACCATACAATGTATTAAGCACAATCAAGCCCGTGGCGACTTCTGACAACCAAGTGAATGTTAATGTAACACGTGACACCATTAATGAAATATTTGACATCTATCCTATTATAAAAAAAGCATTCACCGATTTGGTACCGCAAAAGCTACTGGAAGGGGAGTTTTGGTCGCGATTTTTCAATTCCAAGTTGTTTCGAAGGTTGCGAGGAGATAAGATTGGGCTATACAGTGGGAGAGGGGATGTTATTTTGGACAAATATTTATATATTGACGAAGCTAGTATAAAGGCTGATGAGGTTGAGAAGAAGCAAGAGGGCGAGGAGGAAAACTCGCCAAAGAGGCAGAAAGTTGCCAACGAAGAGCAAACAACAAGCCTGAGCAGTTTTTTAAATGAGCCACCAGTGAGCAAGTTTCTTGATTTATTTGGTAACGAGCAAGACAATTCGCAAAAGTTGGGAAACCGACCAGACATGACAATGAGATACGAAGATGACGCAACCAAAGCACTAAACTTGAAGTCTAGATCCAACAAGGAAAATGAAATGATTATTTTGATGAAGAATATGAACAAGTTATCCTCAAAGATGATGAGCATGAGTGCAACTGAAAATCCTTCTAAACCAGAAAATACCATTGATGGTTTGTCGGCTCCTGAAGTCAATGAATACGAAGAGGAATTGGATTTGCATGACTTGAACGTGGTTAAAGACACCCTGTATGTGAAGTTGAGTATCAACACCAATAATATCAGGGATCGTACAGCTGATGTCGATGAAATTAACAACAATGATGTTGAAATGAATGGTGCTGATTTAGTCAGCTACTTGCAAAATCAAATTTCAAAAGACTCAATAATAGATCTATCAGATACATTCAAGGGTAAGGAGGAAGATATTGCCAAAACGTCAACTGAAATATCTCAACTTGTTAGGCACAATTTCAAGACGTTTAAGCTGATGAACAAGGAAGACTCGACGTCATTGCTAAGACCACACAATATCGTTCCCGAATCAATGTACCAAGAGATAATCACTTACAACATCACCATTGTTGAATTCTTGTCTCATTTTTGGAAATTGTTTTTGAATGGCAACAACGCAACTCAGTTGAAGAAGATATTCACCAGTTTGAAAAATTGTCAAAATTCCTTGACTGAGTTTAAGAGTAAAAGCTTGCATCAATTGGATGTAATTGATATAGTGGCCCTGAATGAAAAATTAAAGGAGAAAATCCACAAGGATTTTGATGCATGCTTGGAACCGATGGAGGTTAGTTTGAGCACTGCATTGAAAAAGTACATTGGGGCAGTCAAGAACTCAAGTACAAAAGAGCAAAATGGTGCAGAATCTTGAATATAGTTGGGTATATAAATTCATTTGTATACAATAAGAAAGCTTCATTTACGTCATTAATAAAGGAGAGGGTATAAAAACTATAATTCACAACTCAATCCAATCCACTCATATGGATCAAAAGTTTCAGTAGTATTGATGGAAAATAGCAGTAAATCGGGAATCAACTGACAAACAAATAATGAATGCATAAATTGTAAGACCTGCTTCACTTGTAAAGTATCACTTCGTTTGAGCAAAATATTCACATTCAGTAAATTCAAATCATCGATTATAAAATCAATCAACTCAACAATCACATCCCGATCTCTCACCATATTTAGCATCTTTTCGTCAATCAAAAACGACATGGTCAGGTCATGCATTATTGCATATAGTTGCACTTGTTGATGAGTCAGCTCTATAATGAGACATTTGTGGCGATTTTGACAATATGGGGGGATTGCGAAGTCAAAGACACCACTTGATGCCTGTGTTGAGTGGGGTTGAGCAGTTTGATGATTCAGTAAACGATGAAGATGATGGTGCAGATTCAAGATTCATATTCGATGGTGGTTTTAGAAAACGTATTCTGATATCAGGGAGATAAGATTGGCGAAAGTGGTGACTTTGAGGCAAAAGAAAAGAAAAATAAACTAGCAAAGCTGAAGAAAAACAGGTTGGGGGGATCAAGAAAAGTAGGATGAACAGAATTGTCCAAATGGTTTCTTTTGATGTTGAATACTTACGTTACTTACTGATTTTTGTTCTTTATGGTACGCGCATGTCCAGAACTGCCTAATTGAGAATTATAAGACATCAGATGCGTTGGCTATTTCCGTATTCAACTTTAAGCCGCACTTAAAGTTTTCGTTTCTTTTTCTTCTCTTTTGTTAAGTCTGCACGTGACTTATCATCTGTGAAACCCATTTTTTTTTTTGATCCTTTGAGATGGGGAATTAGTGAAGTAAGAAGAGTAAACTTAATTAGACCCTCAGAAATACTTGAACAATGGCGAAAAAGAGTACGTATTGCACGTAATGCAATAATCGAAGCTGCGAAAATACTAACTATTGCCCCCCTTCTTCATTTAGTTTCTAAAAGAAGTAGAGCAGCAAGAAGAGGTGAAGTAACCGATGATGCCAATGCACCAATAATCGCCACATCAACCAAAGAATCACATGAAAATGACGGTGTTCGTAAATCAATAATCAGGACACAGATCAAGAACGAAACATTGCTCAATAAAAAAATCGAAGCTTCACGTATCCGGAAACAACAACAACTGGATCAGAAAAAGAAATCATCGTCTCTAAAACATAAAGTTGATCGTAGTGATAAGCTACAGGGCATTTTAGCATCCAAGATCGATGCAAGTATAGCGAGAGCAAAGTATGTGCAAAATGCTAGGAAATCAAACTGGGATAAGACAAATTCAAATATTGAAATTCGAAATCACATGATCGAAAAAGAAGCAAGTGGTGAAGGCAAAGAATTGACTCAAGAGGAGATAGATAGAATGGAAGAGGATGAGTACGTGAGAAATTTCTATGAAAATGATGATGATGTTAAAGTTGACGACAAAGAAAAAGGTGGTGACAGTGATGAAGGTGATGAAAAGAAGGCGTTGGCGAATAACAAGTTTGCATTGTTGGATGAAATTGAAGCTTAGAATCAACCAAAGATCAATCTACATTTACGATACGCAGCTCTTTCCACAGCCGCACTTTGAATTAAAAAAAAGACGGTATAAAAACGGTGAATTCTCAACTACAGTAACTTTCAACTATGTATTTAGCTTCTAATTGACTTAAATATGTGATGTATATCCTGTCTTCCAACATGGTAATCCAATTCCCTATCAAACTGTTGACGTAAAATCTTTCCTAATCTCGTAAAGTAATCGATAAACAACGTTTCTAAATCACTCCATAATTTATCAATCAAATCACGTGTGAACAAATTGTCATTGCCACTGCGGCCACCGCCAGTTGATTGATCATAAGCTTTACGAAACTGCTTTTCAAATGACTCGTGAATCAATTCCACCTTATACTTGATGTCGTCTTCACTGAACTGGGTCAAAAGGGACTTGGCGAGTTTCTTTTGCTGGTGATGATGATGTTGCTGTTTAATGGAATGTGATCCCAGTGTCAGCTGATGAGAAGAGGAAATAGTGGCAGATTTCTCACAATCTTCAATAAAATCAACCAACTTTCCAATAGATTTATGCACTTGTTTTGCAAAATAAGCATCTTCAATTTGCTTAAAGTTTTGAGTCAATTTTTCCAGCAATTTCTTGGTAGAACTATTGCCTGCACTAATATCATTAAGCTGTTGTAAAATGTAAAACACATTTTCCAAAATGGCCACATTCTTATATTCTCTTTCTTTATCATCAAAGCCACCACTATTCACCAATGGATCTTGTCTTGAAAACAAACTAATCAATGCATCTGTCAATTGTATATATGCCTTATCAATCATGTTTCGAACCTTGGTTCCTTTGATGTCACGACCACCAATTGATGTCTCCGTGATTAAAAGAATATAGTTAACTTGCTTCACGGATGAAAGTATACCGCTATTAGGAACAATGGTTGAATTGTTAATTGATTCAAGTTGTGCTTCAACAAACTTGCGCCATTGATTCTGATACTTGTCGCTGACCAATTGAAGGAAATTATAAATCAAAAAGTCTTGATTAATTACAGATTCTTGAATCGATTTCAGCACGTCTTCGATATGTAGCAAAATAACGGGAATGTTGATATCAATAGGATTGACATTTTTAACAAAACTGGTGATAAACCGACCTAAGACTTCATCAAGGTTCTTAATCACATCATTAGAAACAGAATAATTGTTTCTGTTGTCGGTAAAGTCAAGGTTTGCAAAATAAGCAGGATCAGCAAATTCTTCTCTAGTAGCAAATGGGCTGGCTTGTAAAAACTCGGAAAATTCGAGAGTATTTGCATCATAGTGAAAAAACAAAACAATGAAAAATTGGAAAATCATAACAATGACTTTTGATTCTTCAAGTAAGCCAATAACTGACTTGGAATCCTCCAATTCTCCACTTGCTGATCCCTTACCAATAATGTGTCTCTTTATTGACTCCAATTGTTCCCGCTTTTCAGCATCGAGCTCGCGGTTATTAACCCCATTGTTGAACCTACCACCCTTTCTTGAGAACCTCAGAGATCTTCCTTTTCTTAACGGAGCAAAATCATCGTCGTCATCTTCATATTCATCATTATCAAAGTCATCATCGAGGGAAGGAGATAATGATCGTCTTGTCAGTCTTCGGCTTGTCGACAGAATGGGTGGTACCTCACTATAAGAAGGCTCAGAGCTCGAATGCAGCACTTTTTGAGCAGCTTTCAACTTTTTCGACTTGGCACTCAACATCTTCTCCAAAATTCTTGAAAATGTTTGGTTGAAAAGCTTATTAATCTCGTTGAAATACTCCGTACCAATCTCCTTCACGTAATAGGTAATCCCGCTATAAACGAGAAGTTGAGACAAACTTGAAGATATAGTGTTTGGACCAATATTCTCAATACCTCCAATCATTTCTTTGCCAATGCCATCAATTTTCCTCTTCATGAATTCAAAGAAATGTCTCACAAATCTAGAGCTGACACTCTCGTATTTACTCCTGTATTGTTGTAATGCTTTCAATGAACTCAAGTCTTGGCCATCATTCGCATGGGACGAATCCGATCTAATAGTTATCAAACCATTGTACAAGTTCAACAATTTTGACTCCAAAATACCAATCTTGCTGAAAGTTTCAAAACTTTTGAATTCACCAATTGCATGCAAGTCATCAGCACTGACAGATACCTTTGACAAAATTCCATTCAAGTCATCGTATAGTAACTTTTTATTGACAAACTTCAACTGTAACCCCTTTGAGTCCTTATCAATAACACTCACATCTGCATTCAACATTTTGAAATTAATGTCCATCTTTTGGAAAATTTGAAGCATATGTTCGACTTCACTCGAGGCAACACCTATATCGTTTGCAGAAGAGTTGGATAAATCAATATCAACTAATTTCTTAACTGTTTCTTGCTTAGTCTTGTTTAGCTCTTTAGTTAAACTTTTCACAAGCGTATCAGCGTCCATCTTCGAGCTCCAGTTCAACTCCTTCAACAATTCTTCTGCCTCTGCATCTTTTTCAAATTCAGGCAAGTAACTATCAGCTGATGGCTCGGGTGTCGGAGTTGGAGTTGGAGTCTTTTTAGAGATATTCAAACCTGGTTCAAATGACTCCTCCAAAAGGCTATGGGTATCTTCTTCCAAGGTAGTGTCCGCATTTTCTGCAGGAGGAATTTTACTGCCCGATTGGAATTCTCTGACAGGTTCATCATTCAAATCAACTTGGTCGTTGAAATCAAACGAGTCGTCATGGGCTCCAGTAATATGGGAGTCCAACATACCCTCCAACTCTCGCATATGTTCATCTACGTTATTGTTGCCTTCTATCTTGGTAGATTCTTCAATAAACATTGATGAGTTGGGAGATTTCTCGTTCTTTCGATCACTTTGACCCCAAGAAGAGCCTTCCTGCAGACGCTGCTGTTGATGGTCATAAACGTTTCCCTGCTCTGTCACCAGCGGCCGCTTTTGAGATGAGGCACCTGCAACACGCTCGCTCAGATCGTTCACTTTTGCCCCGGGTATAGAATTCTGCTTTTTGTGGAACTTTGGAATAGATGAGGACGATCCCTTTCGATTACTCACCTGCTCGACTGAAGGAAACGCTTCAGTCAATTTTTGACCAGCCAATTCAGGATTAGATTGATGTTCCCCCACCGATTCAAGAGGCTCGAGCATGCTTTTCACAGTGCCTTGCTTAATCGATTTCATATTTTTATAGGGGGACATATTGCTTTCTGTACCACCAGTAGTGGACTTACCTTGCTGATCTTCCTTTATGTCATTACCACCAAATACAAAACTATGAGAATCACTGCTCAATACGCTTCGGGAATCTTCATTTCCGAGCTTCTTCTGTGCATATGGGTGCGGCATGCGCTTTCCATCGGAAACAGCATTTTGTGTGTTATCACTCATTGTAGAAGGATCGACTTTGGTCAGGTAATAGCTTTCATCCCTGGGTGCTGTCTGGTCAGTACTTTCACTCCTATTAGTCAACTGACTGAAACTTTGTTGTCTAGAATCCGTCTCTCTTTTAGTGGCGTATGGTGATGATTTTTGACTTGGTGCAAGAGTGGATTGTGATTGATTGAAAGGTTCATCAAGTTGTTGACCTTTTGACTCATTGAGGGGTTTTGAATGATCCGCAAACGGGGTTTCCCTTTGCATGACCTGCATGGGTTTTTTTGGCAATTGACCATTGACAGTGAAATCCAAACCTTTATACATTCCACCACTAAGAGTTTTCTTGTGCGTTGGATTATATTTCGTTGCTGGAGATGCTTCGTTTCCCACCTTTTGGTTTTCACGATGGGATGATTTGTCCAGTGAAAAAAATGACGGTTTGGGGATAATCTTCTGTCTCAAGGATTTCGACACATTTGTAGGCTCCGGCTTCGGAGATGCACGTTGATTCTGTACTGGTTGTTGCTTTGGGATCGGCTGAAATGTGGGAGTTGAAAGTTGAGTTGGTGATTTAGGTACAGCTGGTAACATAAGCCCATCCAACGTAAATCCATCCAATTTGGGATAGTGTCCAGCTGCAATTCCATAATGTTGACACAAGTACCGGCAGAATTTCCAAATCCTCGACTCTTCTTCATCACATTTCCAGTAGTAATCTTTCGTTATGTTTAAAATCATCCCGTCTGACCCCACTTTTCTGATAAGCAGTAACTCTGATAAATCCCAAGTTCTTCCAATTTGGAAAGCCTGTCTCTCCTCCAGAAACTTTCCTTTTTGTAATAACATTCTCCCAGAGTATTTCTTACATAGCACCAATATTCTACTCTTTGGTGGGCCAGGGTCAATATTTGGCGGCGGAGGATGACTGGAAAAATGAGGAAATTCTTGCACGCTTATGTGAGAGATGTATGAAATCTCATGAACCTTTTTCCCATTGCTTTGTATAATTTTGCCATAACAATCTGAAGTGATTTTATCCGAAATTTGCTTTCTTTGTTGTTCAGAATTGGAGTGACCGCTCGCTTGGCTTGGAGAACCAAGGGTGGGCAGTCCTCCCAGATAGCTATCACGACCAATCGAATTGAATGACATCCTCATAGGAGAAGTTGGATCCAATGGAGCATTTGGCGTCTGCGAGTGTGTAGACATATTATGGGGTGTGTAGGGGCTTTGTTGTTGCTGTTGAGGTGGCGGTGGCGGTGGTATATGCGAATACTGTTGAGGTGGCTGACGTTGAGACAAGTGTTGATATTCAGCAGCCTGTTGCTGTTTCAGTTTAGATTTACCTGGACTGTGGAACATGATCAATTGTCCATTATATATTGCACCTGTCTTTAAACTCAAACTGTTACGTCGAACTCTAATTCAAAGGTTGCCTAATAATAATTTTTTTTCTCCCTCTTTTTGGTTTACGTAGTCTCAAAGTATTGTTCAATACCTTCAACATCTAGTTGAGAACAACTAGTCGCAGTCAAGCTAGGAATAATATGTATGGTTTATATACTATATCTGAAAGACATACTTCAAGCTAGGTGATTATATTGTTATTGCTGGACCATCAAAGCTGGTACTTGCGGCTATTAATAAAAGAGCGCGAGGTGTGTATGAGAGAGAGAGCGTGCGTGTGGGGTGGAGTTAGCAGCACAAGCAGAGAGTGAACCAGCTGATACAAGAATGAAGCAGTATATATGAGGGCAATATGTACCAATTTAAATGAAGGCTTGCCTGTTACTGATGAAAAGTTACGAGACGATTTTCAAACCAGTTGATTTGTATTATGTATGGCAATGACGTGGCTGCGAGAGATTTATCACAACAATTATGGAGTATGCCCTCACAAGGGAAATGCAATAGCAAACTAGGACTAGTTTATTATGCCATGAAGAAAACGGACCTTAGGATAGATAAATCCTTGATATCACTTGAATCCCTAGAGATAAGCAAATATCTAGCTAGCCTATGAAATGGCTAGGGTGAGAACTATCCTTGACATGAATTTGCTGGTCGCCTTATCATGCTTGCAGTGGTGGGGGAAAAAGTGACCAACAAAGTGCACGAGAAAAAGGATTAAAAAGACTGTCTATTTGTTTCTCGAACAAATCTTATTTAGCATGCCTTCAGCTAGCTAAAAGAAAGAACTACCCCAAGCTCTTGATAGAAGCTTTGCTATGTTAGTGACATTCACAGCCTTAAACGTATGGTATAATCCTAAACTACACTGGGTCTTTTTATTGTAAGAGATGGAATGTAATCTAAGAGGATGTAGTCTAAATGCAAGTGACAGGAGTGATTTAACACAGTTTGAACCTATAAACTGGATGAATTGCGTGGA